TTACCAATGTTCAGGAGTAAACAAATCACACCACACGTCCAATACACATCAACTGGGGAGTCTAATATTCTTTCACTAGTGCACTGATATTATTTATACCATTTTTACAATAATGCAGTAGTCTGCATAACAGTAAATTTTGTATTTTTTTGTATGAATAAAAAATCAAAATAGAAAGAAATAATAATATAAGAGGGGCCTAGAGATGTGACTAATGAACAGAGCATATGTTATTTTAGTGCCAAGAATGTCTACCTTGTTTATTCTGGACCCTATTTTGAAATTGGCATCTTTTTTTGTTTGCGTGAAATTGGCCAAATTGCCAATTTCTGTCCACAATATTGGGTAGTCCAAATTGGTAAATGGGAGATTTCTTGTACTCAGCTGATAGACAAAATGGAGTTCTAAAGAAGTAGCTATGAGTTTGGTCAACTGGAACAACGGAATTGGCTGAAAATAGGGCTCAAAGTCAGCGAAAACGCCGATATGCATATGTCGCCGAGACCGCTAACTTCGCGGGAGCGTAATTCCATGAGTTTTCTACCAAATTTCGAACTTTGGGTGTCATTACCATCGGGAAAAGATTCTCTATCATTTCATAAGAAAAAATAATTTTTTTTTTTTTTTTTAAAAATTAGCAACATAGAATGACAGTTTCAGAAAGGGGCCTGAAACAGTCAAAGGGTTAATCCATTCCTGAGAGCTCATCGTAAGCCGAAATTATTGTTAGCCGAATTAATTTTCCCCATAAGAAATAATGGAAATCAAATTAATTCGTTCCTGACACCAAAAGTCTGAAAAAAAAAAATTTACCACATGAAATATTAATTTTAATACACACAAACTGAAGAAGACATGCACAATTACTACTCTACTAAGAATAGAATACATGACACTTACCTTTATTGAAGATCTGGTGATGATTGATGGGATGGGAGGAGGGGAGAGTGTGGAAGTTATTGTTTAAAAGGGGAATCCCCTTCCATTAGGACTTGAGGTAGCAAGTTCTTTTCCGGAGTTACTTCCCTTCTTCTTTTAATGCCACTAGGACCAGCTTGAGAGTCACTGGATCTCTGTCGCACAACAAATCTGTCCATAGGGCTCTGTACCTCCCGTTCCTTTAAGACTTTCCTAAATGGGCCATAACATTGTCATTGTACAGGTTGCCAACACGGCTTGCAGTAGCTGTGTCAGGGTGATTTTCATCGATAAAGGTTTGCAGCTCAACCCACTTTGCACACATTTCCTTAATCTCTTTTTTTCAATTCCATACTTTTTCTCACCCTTTTTACCACAGGGATGGCACTAGAAACTTTCTTGGGGTTCATGATGACTTATTTTGCAGTTACAAGCACTAAAAACACTGGGATAATGTAAAATGTACCGAATGTATGTGTAGATGCGACCACACTGGCAGGCTTGTAAACACTGGCGCTGAGGCCACACATGGGACGTGTCCCGGACGAATCACGTAAGGCGAGTTTATTGTGAGGCGAGACAAAACTTTTGTGCTCAAATGCTTCGTATGGCGGATTTAAAGTAACGCGATGCATTCCTAAGGTGGGGGGTCCACTGTACTTGTGGCGCCCCTGCTTTTCATCGGGGGAATGTTGCATCTCCTGCTGAGCCTTTTGCTTTCATAGAGAGTGATTATCGTATGCAGATTTGGTACCAATCCTTCCAGGACCTTCCAAGTGTATATTATCATGTATCTCTCTTGCCTGCATTCGAGGGAATATGGATCAATGACCTTTAACAGTTCCCAGTAGTTTAAGTGCCTTATCATACTTATGTGTGCCGTGAAAGTTATTTGTACACTCTCAGGTCTGCAATGTCACAGCCTTGAAGGGGGCCGTTAGTGTACTGCAGTATTCCAGCCTAGAGAGCACAAGCAATTTGAAGAGAATCATCATGGGCTTGGCGTCCCTAGTTTTGAAGGTCCTCATTATCCATCCTATCATAGGTAGATACATTGTTGTGGTCTTTGAAGGCGTGATCCTCTGACATTATCACTCCAGGTCCTTTACATTACTTTTCCACTCTATTGTATGGTTAGAATTTGTTGTGTACCCTGACACATTTTTAATATCATCAAGTTTCCCATATCTGAGGAGTTGAAATTTCTCCTCGTTGAACTTCATTTTGTTTTGAGTGGCCCATTCGAAGATTTGGTTGATGTCCGTTTGGAGTCTCATGGTGTGTTTAATGGAGGTCACTGCCTTGGTAATCCGGGTGTCATCCGCTAAGGAAGACACAGAGTTATGGCTTACATCTCTGTCAGAAATGAGGATGAGTAATAGAATGGGAGCGAGTACTGTACCTTGTGGAACAGAGCGTTTTACCGTGGCTGCCTGGGACTTTACTCTGTTTAGTATTACTCTTTGTGTTCTATTTGTCAGGAAGTTGTAGATCCATCTACCAACTTTTCCCGTTATTCCTTTATCACACATTTGTGCTCTATTACACCATGGTCACACTTGTCTAAAGCTTTTGCAAAGTCTGTGTATACTACATCTGTATTTTGTTTTACCTCTAAGCATCAGGA